GAGAAAGAATTTTGTTGTACTCCATTGTCCTGACAAGAGTAGCCTTCTTACACCTCCTGCACTGTGTTAGAAAAACAATGGTCCTCATCTTGAGTTCATGGGCGTTTCAGAGAGAATGCATGCAAAACAACATACTCATTTTAAAATGTGAAGAGCAAAAATGCATACCATTGGAAAAAATTGCACAAACATGGGTTAGTTATAGGAGGTGAAAACATGTTTAGGAAATATGTGCACATGAAAAAACCACAGATTTCAATGCAGGAAGAATTGCTGGATAGCACTGTGGTTTAGGTCTGTTGGGAGTTCAGTTCCCCACTGATCCTCCTTGAGAGGGGCTGGACTCGGTGATTCCAAGGGTCATTTCCATCTCTGCAGTTCTAAGAGGTTGATGATGATTAAAAGGAATGTGGGATCTGTGGAATGTCATGAAATTGACTCCGATATTTCCACATCTATTTTTGCATGCAGGGCTACAAAATCTCTTGCGATCGAAGTAATGGAGAAAAATCTAGGGAATTTCAACTTGAAAATGCAAAGATAAACAGATGTACAAATGACAGCTCCCTTCCCCTTTTCTGACAGGCCATGCTTATAAAGCTTTTCTTTTCTCCGTTTTTCCCTCCCCACCCAGTATAGTTTGCTGCTCCAATCCCTTCTCCCCCTTATTTCCTGCCAAAGGGGTACAGAGGCGGATGGGAGGTTGAAATAAGAAGGGAGCTGCTTGGGATGGTGAGAGGGAAGCCTCAGAAGCAGCCCGAGAGGACCCGTTTCAGACAGCTGGTGACAAGACCCAAGGAGCCCAGTTCCTCTACCCGACTTCATAAGATGGGGCCAGGGAGAGTCTTCATTCTGATTTTCCTCGCAGGTAAGGCAAATGGAGCAAAGAGTTCAGAACAGGTTGCCGAGAGCGTTTCCAAGCTGCTGCCTAAGAGTCACCTAATCAAGCTATGCCATTCCGATCGATTAATTTAAGGCAGGTTCCCCTGACCTGAATCCCTTCCATAGGCAGCAGGTCCTTTAATCTATGCCCACTTTGGTCGCTTTGGCTGGAGCTGGCAGTGGTGGGGATGATGGGAGATCTGCAAGATCTCAAAAGGCATCAGGTTGGAGGAGGCCAATTTAAGACATCCAGTGGGAAATGCAAATAATTTCTCTGCCTCCTCTCCTAATAGCTAATTAATTAACAAAGTGACAATCTAAACATTCCTTTTTGCTTGTTAGAAATGATCATCTGTTTTTTAAATAATAGATTTTGAAAAAAATTGCAATGTAATACATATCTTCTCAGTTATTTGGGATCTTTCACTGCCTGTTTCTGGGGGGTGAGTGAAAATGTGGTTTGATTCTAGTAGGAATTTAGTTTCTTCTTGTTTTTGAATATGTTCTGTTTTGAGCTGCTGTTTAATTGTGCGGCTTAGCTTTGTTGTGAGGTAACATCATTGTTCTGTTTGATGTGCTCATGTACTGTAACTTGGAAATGGAAAATGCTGAGTTTACTTCTAATAACTTTCTTTCTCTTGCTGCTGCTAAAACTGGGAATTGAAATGATTTGTGCAACAATGAAGTGTCTCTACTAACTGAAGGTGATGATTGCACACATTAAGCTGACCAGACAACGCTTTTGAATAGGAACAGCTTGGTCCAGTTTTCTAATCTCAGCTTTTGGAATCACGTAGCTCACAAGCTTGCCCACATCAAGATGGAAGGCTTCTCAAATGATCCAGTCCTTCAGCTATTCTGCAGCTCAGTGGCTCCTAAACTTGGGTCTCCAGATGCTTTTGGACCAAAACTCCCAGAAGCCTTCACCCCAAGCTGCATTGGCTCGGATTTCCCGGAGCTGTAGTCCAAGAACATCTGTGCACCCAAGAGTAGGAACCACTGCGCTTGCTCTTGCCCTTATAAACTATTATAGTTGCTGAGAAGATTTCTCATTTTGGGTGAGCTGTGATGATCTCAGAGGAAAAGACTTTACTTTTTGTTGAGAGCTAAACTTTTCCAACAGGTCTTTCTTCTTTCTCCTAGAGACCGCCCGCTGTTCCAGAGAAGATTTGGAGATTATTCCAAGCACGGGGGATGTGGAATTGGGCAAGAAGTCATATTTTCTCTGCAAAGGT